TATGGACAAATACGCACATAGGCACATACACATAGACACACGCATACGCACAACACACACACACACACACACACACACGAAACACATGCATAAATGTACACACATACACAAATGTAAACACACTGGAGAACTTACAGTGTACTAATGATACCTGGTCTTCTCTCTATACTCATTTAAATCCTTTCGCGGAACCCAAGAACCTTGAAAACCTTGAAAAGCCTGATTGCTAGTTAACAACGAACACTACATCCGTTTTTTCAGTTTAATTTTTCAACTGGAAGACATATGCGTCTACATCAGGAATGGAATATTTCCTCTTAAACACCTTTATCATAAAAAATTATACTTTCCACTGCAGCCTCAGGACTTTATTTAATCACCCCAAAGGCCCCCATGGCTACCTTTCCCTGGGATTAGTTAACATCCTTCCAATAAAAATCAAGTCCACTGATTATCGAATTCGCTACACCATTGAATGCGGATCAAGTGTCAAAACTAATTGGATAATTCAGATCGCGAGCCCAGTCATAATTTGAGGCAGGGGGAGCAAAAAATAACAAAACTTCAAAAAATCTTAAAAGAAATACTAATTCCAACTGAAATGTTAAAATGTCCAAATATTACAACTGAAGAATTGTGTCCTGACGTGTTAAGACCTCCCCTTTCGGAACTTTTTTCTTGACAGTGCTGTTCCTGCCTCTGCGCATGCTCTTCGTAGCATTAACCAGTTCATATCAATTCACTTCAGTAATATTTCTTTAGTATATACTATAGTATGGACTAAAACACTATAAAAGAAGAAAGAAGAGAGATTTCAGAAGGTATGCTTCGGCCATGGTCCAGCTCGGGGATTCGAACGCTCGAACTCAACTCCACGAGACCCGCACTTACCCACTCTCCACTGCTGCGAAATCTGATTGCGACATTGAACTGGGGATATATCTTATCAATTCCTAAACAGTTAAAACTATTGTTAATCGCTCACGCTCTTGAATACATTATAGGAATTTCCTCCATTGCTAGTCTTTCATGCTACCAAAATAAGTTCTACGTAAGACCAAACAGTTACATGATGCATGTTTTGCAATGATATTATTTTTTGTTTGTTTGTTTGCTTTACAAGACACTAAAATTGAGTGGTATTATTATTGACCTATCAGCTGTCTGACACGTTACATGTGTGTTTGTGAAAGATTGAGACACACACACACACACACAGAGTAAGAGAGAGAAAGAGAGAGAGAGAGAGTGAGTGAGAGAGAGAGAGAGAGAGAGAGAGAGTGAGTGAGTGAGTGAGAGACAGAGAGAGAGAGAGAGAGAGAGAGAGAGTGAGTGAGTGAGTGAGTGTGAGAGAGAAAGAGAGAGAGAGAGAGAGAAATACATATAAACATACAAAAAGAACCAGACAACCAGACAGAGAAATAAAGACTGAGATACAGACAAACAGAAGGAAAATCAGCTTGTGTGAGAGAGAGAGACTGAGAGAGGAAGAAAAGTGGGTGTAAAATATGCATAAATTAGAATGAATAAAATCACTATGAAAGAAATGTAATTTTCGTTTCGATATTACATTTTCAGATTTATGTAGTTCTGAAAAAAGTATAATCTAGAAACATTAATCAAACCTCTTGTATAACGAAATTATTCATATTCATTAGAACCATTTTCAACATTTGGTATAAGGAACTGTATCCGACAGCTATGTTTTTAAGGACTATTTAAAGGCGTAATTAGACGTGTATGTACGTGTGTGTGTTTGTATTTGTGTGTGTGTGTGTATTTGCGTGTGTGCGTACATGTGCGCGTGCCCACCCATAGCAAAGGAAAGAGATAACTGAAGGGCGTTCCCCCCGCCGCACGCAGGGCCGGCCACCGACCGCCGAGATGGACAGCGGCGAACAGCGTCGCGTGACGGTGCTCGAGCGCTGCCTGGGCTCCCTCGCCGCCGTCAGGCCCGCGCCTCCTCCGCAGCAGGAAAAGGTCGAAGCCTCCAACTTCAGCGAGCGCCTTCAGCTGAACTACTGCCCCACCAAACGCTCGGAGGTCCTGCGCTCCCTCCGGCCCCAGGAAGAGCCCGCCTTCGCCGCGGCCCGGGGGGAAGGGGAGGCGGCCGTCGAGATCCACTGGACGCCGGCCTTCGGGAGGTATCTGGTGGCCGCGCGGGACATCGCAGCGGGGGAGGTGGTGTTCCGCGAGGCGCCCCTGGTGGTGGGGCCCAAGGCAGGGGCCGGGCCCACCTGCCTGGCGTGTCTGAAGGCGCTGCCGGAGGACACGTGGGAAGGCTGTGAGCAGTGCGGAGCCCCGCTCTGCCGCCCGCAGTGTGGCGGGAGAGGACACGGCGAGAGGGAGTGCGAACTGCTTGCTCTTCTCGGCCTGAAACACGAACCTCGGAACACCAGCCGCGTCAAGCAGCTGAACGCCCTCCTGGCGCCCCTCAGGGTACTTCTGCTGATGGAGCGGTCGCCGGCGGCGAAGGCCATCGTGGACGCGCTGCAGAGCCACGTGGAGGAGCGCCGCGGCCTCCCGATCGGCCGCTTCGTCGAGACGCACGTGGTGGCGGTGCTGCGGGAGCGGCTGCGATTGGCGTTCGCGGCGGAGGAGATCCGGCGCGCGTGCGGCGTGTGCGACACCAACAGCTACCAGGTGAGCGCGGGCGAGGACCGGGTGGGGCGCGCGCTGTTCGCGGCGGCGTCGCTCATGAACCACTCGTGCACGGCCAACACGCAGCACTGGTACCACGACGACGTCATGAGCGTGCGCGCCGTGGTGGACATCCCCGAGGGCGCGCCGGTCACGTACGCTTACACCAACGTCCTGTGGGGCACCCGCGCCCGCGCCACCCACCTGGCCACCGCCAAGCTCTTCACGTGCGGGTGCGAGCGCTGCCTCGACCCCACGGAGCTGGGTTCGCACATCAGCTCCGTCAAGTGCCGCGAATGCCCCCAGGGCCTTCTGCTGCCTCCGGCGGCCGCCAGCGCCCCTTGGCAGTGCCGGGCGTGCGGCGCCAGCGTATCTGCAATCGCCATAGAGACTTTGGTGCGTGCCGGGGGAGCCGCCCTGGGCCGCCTGCAGCCAGAGGACGCCCGATCCGTCGCGGCCGCCCACGCCCACCTCACGCGCATCCTGGGCGACACGCACTACGTTGTGGTCGAGGTCAAGCGCGCTCTCGTGCGTGCCATCATGGCGACGCCGCTCGCAGGTAGAGGCGGTTCATTTCTATTCGCAAGTATTGCCACATCGGTGCTGAAATATTGTCTTGGGTAGACTAATGGACACAGAGAACCATGTGCTGATCATAAGATAGTTATTCAGATGGAAAAAAAGACCAAAAGTAATCATATTCCTTCATATCAAATCCCCTCTTTATGATGAAAACATTTTTTTCCTCTCTCAGATATAACCCAGGCTGACCTTGAAAGGGTGTTGGATTTGACCTCAGAACTGCTCCGCCTTGCTGATCGGCTACAGCCTGGACTTACCAAAATCAGAGGTATGTAGAAAAAATATTGCTTGGGTACAAATGAATGTTATTTTATTAATCCGTATCAATATGCCCGATTTATTCAAATATGTTTTTTGTATTATTCCTGTCATTTGTCAACTTTAAACTTCTTCCAGGGGACGGAACCTCTCTGGAAATCAAACATCGAAATCAAGAAAGCATTGAATATAAATCAATATGAATTCTTACACAAAAAAAGTATAATACAGTCATGCAGTTGTATACGTTTAACACCCACACAGAGCAGGATACAAACCCGCTCAATTTACGGTAACACTCAGGCTGTTATCTTGAGTACGTGAGTTTCGGATCTTTGAGTCTCTAAAGTTTGGAAAGAAGAGTGGGAAGGGAAAATATGGGATAGGGGAAGGATAAGGAAAGGAGGAAAATAAAGAGAAGAGAAAGAAGACGGAGCTTAACCTATCTAGATATATGGAGGGTGTTGCCTATGCATTCCTAACTTCCCTACACGGAGCACTTACTTTCTTTCAGGACTGTTACTGCTAGAGCGATCTCGTGCCCTGGTGGAACTCCTGTGGCGCTGCAACACGGGGGCGGAAGGTGATGCTGCAACTCACTTGGAGACTTTGATTTGCAACATTCCCGGTTGCGCAACTCTTTTACAGGTACAAAGAATTATCCTCACTGGTTTTGGCTGAACACGTGTTTTTTTTCGTTTTATGTTTAATATGGTAGGACAGGATGAAGGAGACTAACAATCACAAGGTCCCAGATTCGCGCCCGATTAGTCTCAGCTGTGAATGAGTACTAGCATCAGTAAGCTAGAGTCAAAGTCAGGGTGGAAAGAAACTGGTCTCCAAACCGCGCACATTTCCTCTATGTTCACTTGGATCGCAATAAAAGCCAGTCCCATTTGCTATCTTGCTCTTGTTACCAGTGACAGTTACCAGTTACCAGTCAACAGCTTAATAAACATACAAACACACGCAGAAATAATTTTGTCTGATTTTCTTTGTTCTTTGAACACCTTATACGTCAGGCCTTTGCAAGTTCTGACTGTGACTGCATTTGCAATCTCCAGCAAGGGAAATATAACTTTTTTTTTTTTTTTTGTCTTCTACGTTGATATTTCCAATTTTATTCTTTCCATGACACTTAAAATATTTCCGCCTGATTACAGGAATGGAAAAACTGGCAACTCACTCGGGCTCTGGAGTCCTCAAATTCACTGTCACTCTTAAGAAGAAATACTTATGTGCTAAAGGACCCAAATTTCAATAAGAAACGACGAATATATTATACATGTTTTAAAATTCCAAACATATTGAAGTACAAGTACCAAGAGTCAGGTGATTAGAATAACTCGAATCGGACTATTAGAGGGCTAAGGGTGAGTTGCCAGTTTTTCTTCTGAAATTGGACGTACTATAATTCACTTTCACGACCTGCCAGTGACAACACTCCACCTATTTTATTATTATTATTATTTTATTTTTATTTTTTTGTCAAGCCAAACCCTAGATTATTATTATTACTA